TAGTAACAAGTGCCTTACTAGTAGTAACAAGAAGCTACTAGAAACAACAAGCTACTAGGAACAAGTGCATCGCTTCTAGTAACAAGTGCCTTACTAGTAGTAACAATAAAGCTATTAGAAACAATAAGCTACTAGGAACAAGTGCATCGCTACTAGGAGCAAGTGTACGAATTCACAGGTCTATCACTTTCAACCTTCAATCTGGTTTACCCACAGGACACAGAGGTCATGTGCTCAGTGGAAGAGATACTCAATCTGTCCTTCCTTGAAAAACCAATTCATCTTCCCCGGAAAGGCATTTGAACGTGGCTGGTGCTGTTTGACACCTTCCGGATGATCGTGTCGTTGCTAGTGTGGGATCCTCCATGCGCCCTCATGGATCATGCGGAAATCCTGACTGTTGCGATGGCTGAGTCATCTCTGCTGAATCCTGGCTGTAAAAAATGTGTCATTCGGCTGGGAAGCAGGACATCGTTGTCTGCAACAAACCTGATACTGCAAGAGATGCTGACTTCCTTGTAACATCTTTGCATCTCCAGGGATCTTGGCTTGGTAGGAACTGATAAGTTCACAACTGCAACCACACCAATGTTGGTGTTTATCTTCAGAGTTGCGGCTACTCCCTGCCCTTCAGCTCTTCCACGAAAAAAAAAGAAAAGAAACGCGTTCGAGCGATAGAAGACGAGCGTAGACGTGCTCGCACCACGTCTGCAGCTCAGGCTCTGTACAAGGTGGACTGATCTCCATAGTACAAACCTGCACAGCAACGGCATCGAACGGCTGCCCTGAAAAAAGAAAGACGGTCCGCGCCGGCGTCCGTTCGTTGGGGCGCTCGTTGGGGCGCTCTGACGATGACACGTGGTTTGGAAGAAGGGCCAAGTTCCTGAGGGTCTGCATGTGATAGACGAATCTGAGACCTGATGCGTCAAAATCTGTTTCACCAATTAGAAGGTGGCAAAATGTGGCAAAGACTCGACCCGTTTGCCCCGAAACCAACCAACCAGGGATCAGGGCTCAGGGCTCAAGGCTCGTGGGGTCGCCTCGCACCGCTTCTCTCAACTCCCAAACAGCTGCGAACGGGGCGGACGCTCCGAAACGGACGCGACGAAACGGAGGTGACGAGGCCCATCGCGAACGAGGGAGAAGACACGAGATATGGTTCCATGCGAGAAGACGCGTTTGAAGGGTGTGTAGTTGAAAGGGGAGACACCCTTGGTGCCGACGGAGTGACCGGGGGGAGAGGTTTCTATTTGAGCTACACACCCATGTGGCATGTCCAAGGACTTCGATTTCACCTCATCTGGCTGGCATTCCTTCAAAACCTGCCTATCTCCGCAACCAAAAGGGTCCACCCGATGTCCTTCTTCTCCGGCACCCCGCTCCGACCAAAGCCCGCTCCTAGCGCTGAGGCAGAGAGCAGGCAGCTGCGCCAGAAGCCGGTTCCGGGACTGAAGCGGAGTTGCCACGCGGAAAGCACCACGGCCACCCTCGGCGCGCGTTCCGCGCGCGCGTGCGTCTTTAAGGGCGTCTTGATGGGAGATCCCTTTTCTTGCGATGGAAGGGGATGGAAGGAAGAGGGACACTCCCAGAGTCAGAGTTCTTGACCTTTTGGGCATGTTTGGAAAGAAGAACAATACTTGGAATCCTCAAGATTCGTTTGTCTTGCCAATGTGGGGTTTCTAGGTTCAATTGAGATCTTTCTTTTGGTTCTGGCCTAGAGCTTGTTTCAAAGACACTTTGCAAAGAACACAAGCAACACAACTTGCCGCGGAACAAAGGACTTCATCAGGAGCTCTAGCTTGAACATCTGCGCTGGAGCCGCACTCGTGCACAAATCATATCACCATATGATACCACCCACCTTGCACGGGTGATGTCCTTCCCAAAGCAAGTTGAGGGGTCTGTCTACAGGGTCGGAGACGCGACTGCTCAACTCCAAAGCCAGCCGGACTGGTCTAAGAGTGTAGTCTCTAGCTACATGGAATACCCAAACCCGCTCACACTCTTCCAACTCTTTCAACTCCAGCCGCTCCACAGCCATGGTGGCACGACATGAACTGCCCAAAATGCCACGCTTGGCGCGGCAAGCATGGTGGAAAATGGTGGAGAAGGATAAGCTCCTGCTGAGAGTACTGAAAGTTGAAGGGACTCTCACACTCTCACAGAGAGAGTGGACAAATGCAAGGAAAAGAGGAAGGAGAAAAGGTAAAACAAAACACCAACAACAAAAACAACCGCAAAAATTAAGAATGCAATGTCCTTGTTTCACACGAAGCGTCAACCCAAAAAAAGACCGGCCAAGCGGCGACAGTGTCGCCAAGCTCTGGATGATCTTGGCATCCCGAGTCATGCGAGGATTGGCCTCAACGCGAGGGACCGGTCGGCGAAAGGTCTGTCGGCAGCGGCCTCCTCCGCGCGCGCCCCGTCCGCGCTGGGAACCGCCCAGTCCGGTCTTTGGTTGGGTGAAAACCAAGCCCAGCTCCGCGATGCGAAGGCTTGAGCGCGGACGGGAAGAGCCTGTGCGGAACAATGCTGACAAAGGTAGGAGTTGGGTAAATCATGGTATAAACAACAGTGGAGCTGGTTGGTATTAGGTATTACTGGTATTAGTTGGGTATATCATGAGTTGGGTATATCCCATTACCAGCAATTAATAGTGGATGATTAATTAGTCAAGGCATGTGAAGGCCTTCCTCAAAAACAGTGATCATCTTTTACCGACTGTTACTGGTTATGGGCTACACCCTAGGCAGGAAATGGTAGGAGTAATGATGCCAACCATGGGATGCGAATATATGAGGGACTCGCTAAACTTTGCTGCCACGCTCGCGCCGCTTTTTTTAAACTATACCTTGGTCGCGGGTGGTGTTCACTACGTCGCACACGCAAACAATCACGATCAGCTTCATGTGCTCACCCGTGCGGATGCTGACCACTTCACTTTAGTCGGAAGGTCCTAGACCTCCACACCTCAGCAGCAAAATGACTTCTGCCACAACCAGCTGTGGTAAAACACTTGCACCATCAGCCCTTTGCTTCATGTTTGCGGGCAGTGCGACAATACCCAATACAGCCAAGGTGTCTTGACAGCTGCTTGGTGATGAAAGGAGGCTCTTCATCTCTGATGTTGTACCACATGGGTGCGGACGTTCCTGCACATTGGCCACCACATGCCACCCATCTACTTTTGTGCATCTGGTACCACACGTTGAATTGCTTATCAATGGCGTGTCTGCTCATGTAGTGAGCGGTCAATTTATACATGCTGGTGCGGGACTACACCAAATAGCCTTTGGCATGGCCCTTGTACCAAATACCCTCAGCCTGCCGGCGTGAATTCGCCAGCAAATCTTCTGTAGGGACAAAAGTGAATGCTGATGATTGGGGGCGGCCATCCAGATTGTCAGGCAACTGTTCAGGTTTCTGATGGACACCCATAGATTTGTTCTGCTGCTTGTCATCCTCCAGGAACTGCTCTAAAGCATCCATCAGCATGCGCACCAATATCTTCAACAATCACACGTGCGTCGTCTAGAGTCACCTTGGTACAGGATCCATTATTTGGATATTCCAAAAGGTCAACTCGTTTGTAAAGTTGAGGGAAGATGTCCTCAAACGTGCCATTAATTTGGTCATGTATGTACACTGCAAGGCAGTGAATTGAAACTAGGCCTTGACCACTGGCAAAGCACCTCTGAAGTGGGGGCTGTAGGGCAGCTGGTAACAGCCTTTGCCCTTTGAACTTCCCAACAATGAGGGCTTGAAGCATGACTGGGCTTCGGAGGCGATCAAACTCCAGCTTGAGCCAAACTGGAAGACTCGCGTGTCTGGAAGTGCTCATTGTTGCTGCTCGTCGGGGCATGTCATAGGATGTTGGAAAGAGCTCCATTTTCGTCAACCTTTCCCCCACAATGATGAAACGCAGGTTGGCCTACTGGCCTGTTCCCACGGTGACTTCACCTACTGGCTCACGTACTCTCACGGGCTTTGCTTCGATCAGAGTGAGGGCACTGGAATCATGATCTGTTAAGTTGTCCCCACCGCCCAGCAGTTGATGGTATAAGGTTGAATGTATCCCTGGTTAAAAAGAATGAGGATGTTCTAAACTTTTCACTAGGTCCAGACTTGCCCAGCAAATCATCCATTGATCCGAGTCACTAGGCCAAGTAAACCGTTCATCAGGACCTGCAAAGTGCGCCATGCGACGGACGGACGACAGGTCTCACACCCGGAACATGCCTCATGCCTTGAACTCGCTTGGCAGCCCGTCCATCACTATGGCGGCGAACAACTATATTTATTTACAGTACAGTTTTTTAAATATATATATATATATCTTATATCATCTAACAGAGGTTTACGTCTTCTGGAGGCAAAAACCAACTGGTTCCTATACTTGTTGGCTCAAAGCAGCTCCACAGCTCAAAATGTGTGATTCCATACGTGTTTTAAATGGTCTGTTTCCTTCAGCTGGCCCTTGGGAAAGTGGGCAGCCTTGAAGCACAACCGGAAGCATTGCCAACACGATTTATTGAGCTGCTTCGGCATCAAACTAACCTGCAACTTGACTTGCACAACCTTTGCTTCCATGGCTTTCGCCAAATGTAAAACCTCTGAAACAGCTTGTGACCAAGGTCTATTTCCTGCTCTTTCATCAAGAGATCCCAGTGGCCACTTTGTAGGGTCGCTCGCCCCCGACGCCCCGGCGCACCATGAGATAGACTTCCTTGCTGTAGCCCTCCAGTGGCCCTTTCGTCCGGGTCATCACCTGGCGCGGACGCGGACCACGGGTCTCCGGGCATCGGCGTCGCGGCGTCACCGACTCGCCATACGAGCGGATGGTCACCTCCGCCGGGACGTGTTGGGGAGATGATTCGGCCCATTCGGCGGGTGTGTCTCAAGTTTGGAAGACGAAGGTCTCACCGATTCTCGAAATGGCCAATGAACTCAGGCCGGCCATAGTAGAACGGGCGTCCCCCAACTTCGGCAGTCGATTTCTGTGACGTCATCGGCACATTGTCTGTTGAGCCCATCGCTAGCAGCTAGCAGGTTGGAGTACATGTTCCACTTCGACTTCGGTGCCCAGTTCGTGGGACCCATGATCATCCCAGTTCCATCTGTTTGGCCCAGGCACATGGAGACCAAGAGATGCCACAAAGCTGTACCTGTACAGCGGTTTTTCCCACCGCCAAGTGCGGTCGGGCCACACTCGTGGAGCACGACCTCTAGAGCCCAAAATGTCTTGGACCTCTGCTGGGATTGGCTTGGAATCGGATTCTGCTTCCTACCAGGCGACATTCACTTTGTTTGGGAAAGACCAATCATTCGAAAACGGCAAAAGCAGGTCTGGGATCGACTTCGTCCACCATCCTGGACCCAATCTGAGTGGTGCGCAGGGAATGAGGGTGGCTAGACGCAAAAGAAGTTCGATTTGGCCACGAAGCACCCTTCACTGCACCACTTGGGACATCGCAAGATATGGGAAGAAGACAAATCGGCTTCGCCAAGGCTAGAATGGTTATGTGTTCTTCCTCCCAAATCGGATCGCTCAACCACCTAAGAAGAGGCTTGTGAGAAGAGACACTTTTGTGTTGATCTCTCTTCACCACTGTTGACCACAAGCGATCAGTTGACCTCAAGCGACGCAACTCTTCACTTCCTGCGTCTACTTTGCAGTGGCCAAACGAGTTCTCCCCAGTCTCCCCATCAGACAGGACACATCTGCAGCACAAGGTGGTTGCAAGGACCCCTCAACTGCAGCTGGGCCCCCGAGAGAGACGAGCAGACCTTGGCGGTCGGGGCGATCAAGAAACATGCCTTCCCTGACGTCCGTGTAGCTGAAGCAGCTCGTTAGGAGATACGACGGCTCTCGTCTTCCCAATGGATTCACATCTTGAAGCCAAAGAGCTATTAGATATGGCAGTGCAACTTCATCTACAGATTCCATCCGTCCAACTGAAGAAAGTCGGATAGGTTTTCTATGGTTTTCTGATCATGATGTTTGAAGCTGATCTTCTATCCCATCTTCCTCCGCTTCCTGGCAGCTCTCAGCTCTCCCATTCTTTTCCCCCACAAAGCACCAGCTCCGGGCTCTGCTGCTTCCGCTGCACTGCAAAGCGACCTCCTTTCGAGCTGAAGGCACTCAGATCCCCATGTGGCGCACTCGCGCTTTGCGCTGTGAGGATCATGACCACTGCAGGCAGCCTCAACGGGGCGTCTGACCGGCGGTCTGTCCCATGTCTCAACCTGGTCCCGCCGCACGAGGGACGGTCCCTGGTTTCTGGGGAATGTTGACCCGTTTGAAGCACAGAAGCAATCGGCCCCTGCCGCGAAGAAACCTCCCATACCCTTGGAGTCCAGTCGACTATGTTCAAAATCCCCTGGCTAGGTAGGTGACCCTCAGGGACTTACTTCAACCTCAATGGTATACTGTAGTAAACTGCAGTACATCTATAGTAAATTTGGGTACGCAGTTTTACATGCTTTTCACTCATTCTTACCCATTCGTGACCAAACGATCCAAGCTCCAAGTCCGACCTAGACCGATGCGCCCGAGTTCCGCTTTGGTCCCCCGGCACCCTTCGGTGCCGGTCCCACTGGGGTGGAAGTCAGAGGTTTGGCCCAAGATTCCCTTTCCATCCGAGAAAGGCCGAAAAAAAAGAAGAACAACACAGACAAAAGAAAGGTCTGTAAAGAGAAAACTCCTTTCCTAAAAACCTTTCTTCTTTAGACCTTTCTGTTTTTGCCAACATCCCCTTTCCCACCATCCAACCAAGTCCGTAGGTCCATCGATACTGAGAAGTGGACCCCAGAACCGCCCTTCACAAGCCAAGGGACTTGTTTCCCAGCTTCCACGTGAGTTCTTCCTTAGGTTGGAGGCCATCGCTAGGTTGCAAACCGATCAAAGAAAGGAAGTCAGATGGAAGAAGTAAGAAAAGAACGGAAAACTCTTCGGTTCTCCATGGGAGAGTATTCTCTCCGACTCCCAGTGAAACGATTCCCAAGGAAGCTTCTAGTTACTAGTAGCGATGGCCTCCTAGTAGCTTCTACGTTATTAGACAGCTTTATTACTAAGAAGCTTCAAAGACATACTAGAAAACTTTATTGGTACTAAAGGTGAAACGATTCCCCGGCATCTCATCAAAGAGCTTTCCGTCACAGAATCATGGTTGCGTGGAGTGAAAACCAGCGGTTTGGTATTCGGATTTCATGGTCATCCAAAAAAAGGGCCAGGCCATCCACATCATCATCATACTTCATGATAAGGAGTGAAAAACCTAGACATCCAAAAACCTCTTCGATCGTCCCCAAATTTTCCTGTGCCCAGCCCAGATTCCTGCATCTTCCATCCAGCTGCTTCTGCCGACTGCCGCAGCAAAACCGCATTGACCTCAGAGGACAGCAGCACACAGCGGCCGTGCCAGGGGTCAGCGACCCGGTGAAGCTCACGGAGGGCAGCCGGGTAGAGCGTCTGATTCCTGGCGGTCGCGACCACCGCCCAGAAACTGCATTTCTGCAGGGTGTTGGCATCCTCCATAAGCCAGGCTCAAAGTCGATGCAAAAAGGGTCTAAAGATGTCTAGAGGCCAAAAAAAAACCGCTTGCGAACAATCCTGGAACGCCCACCCAACCTCCCTACACCGTGTGCGAAACACGCACACACACACACACACATGCGTGGCGCCACGCACAGCCAGCCGCGTGGCCTCACCGTGTGCCACCTGGTTCGGCCAAGTGTCTCCTCCAGGGTGCCAAACTGCCGTCCGAAGGGAAGATCACACAGAACCACGTCCACCGATCCATCGGGCAGGGGCAAATGCCTCACATCTGCCTGCAGCAAGGCGCCGCCGTTGGACGGCGCCGTGCGGCGCAGCGATTGGAAATGCCGCGCAGCTCGGGTGAGCATCTCTGGGGAAATGTCCTGAGGTGAGCAGGCGTCAGGAGGCGTCAGGTGAGCAGGTCTGGGATGAAGACATGAAGGCCTCTAACTTAAGAGCGATGGCGATGGCCTCCCCCTAGTAGCGATGGCCTCCAACCTAGTTGCGATGTCCTCCAACCTACTGCGCACACAGGATTAAGTAACCACCCCCTATTGATCAATCCCAGCTCGACCCCCCAACACTAAACTAATTTAAGACCTGGATTTCCACCTTGGCATCACCCTAATAACTGTTTACTGTGCAAAAACCTCCCCCTATTAGTCAATCCCAGCTCCCCCAGGAAAAATAGTTGGGTTTAACTGTATGTATAATTATATGTATTTATTGCTTACTTTCTCACCATCTGCGCCTCCATATTTGAAAGGCCAATACTATTGTACTCATCTTGAATTTTCTGATCCCTCTCCCATTGGGTGTCATATGCCATAAGGTCATACCAATCCTCCAGAGGCCACCACTCAGACCATCCAGTCCATGGATCCACCCTGGCATGGCTCTCTGATCAACTCTATCTGATCTCTTGTCAAACTTGTGCCAATACACTTAGAGGAATCATGGTTCTCATGGTTCAATCTCTCATGACACAGAATCCCATCAACCATCATCCATCATCAGGTCCAGGTCCTCATCTCATCATCCATCATCAGGTTCAGGTCCTCATCTCATCATCCATCATCAGGTCATCACCTTTATTAGGGGGATGTGGCCCTCAGATACCTCCAATCTCAGACCTTGTTGACCTTGTTGACCTTGAAGGGGGGGGCGTTTATTAATCCGGTGTTGCCATTAATAGCGTCTGGGATGAAGACATGAAGACTTTGCTGGTGAAACGTGGCACTTGAAGATACTTTGAAATTGATTCTGTGTGCCACCATGCTCATATATTGCTAAAGGATGGACCGAGAGGAAAGGCCAAAATGACAGGTCTGTTTGCAACATGTCAATCCACACACAAGGTACACATATAGTTACTCTCAAGTCAAGGCTCATCAAGCACAGGTCCAAATTCTGTCTTCCCCACCCTCTCCATCTGTACAGGTTTTTTTCCCCTTGGCCGCGCCACTTGCATTTGCTTGAAGAACCGACCCAGACAAATAGAAGACTCTTCGGCAAAAGAGGATTCACCCAGTTCCGGATAAATCCATCACCCTCACCCAGGAACTCATCGGATATCTGAGGTCCTAAGAAACATAGTAATGCCCTTTGTTGCTAGTAGCGATGACCTTTGTTCCGTTCGTAGCTTCTTGTTACTAGTAGTAAGGCCAGGAGCCCCGTTCGTAGCATCCGATCCCTCCGTTCGTAGCGATGCCCTGGTAGCTCTGTGGCCGGCCTTAGGGCACCACTCCATCAAACCGACTCACCTCTCCTCCAGGCGTCAGAGCCGATGAGCAGGGCATTGCGATCCGAAGCTTCGGTCAACAGCATGCCTGTTCCACACATGGGATCTAAGACCACCTGGCGGCAAGGGGACGCTACGAACGGAGGGATCGGAAGCTACGAACGGGGCTCCTGGCCTTAGAGAGTTCTCACGCAGAAAAAAGAAACACACCCCGCTACTAGGGACTCCTGGCCGTACTACTAGGAGCAAGAAGCTACTAGGAAAAAGTGCATCGCTTCTAGTAACAAGTAGACTAGGAGCGATCGGACGCTACGAACGGGGTGCGCTCTCTTACGACGAACGGAGCAAGGTGGGCCGAATTTCAAAGGCCAAGATGCCAAAAGCCTCTGCTCCGTTCGTAGCTTCTTGTTACTACTAGCGATGCACCTGTTACTAGTAGCGTGGCACTTGTTACTACTAGCTTCTTGTTACTACTAGTAAGTGCGAGCTTTTCTCGAACCTCAAAGGCCTGTATGTCGGTTGTTTGTACAGGTCGTTTCAAGGTGTGGAGTTACGTAGCTTTTCTTACGCACTCCTCCTTGCTGGCTTGAGCTGTTTCGCTTACGCCAGCAGTCCACCTTCACCATGGAACTTGATCGCTGTCTAAAAAGGGCATGTGTTTGTCCATGCGGCTGTACATCTCCATTTTCTGTTCATGATCACTTCGCTGGTTCAAATCGAACCACCTTCGCTCAAACTGCAGCGCATACTGCTTTGCCCTGAGACACGATCTTGCTCCAGGTGTATCATACTGCATCACCTCTTGCATCTCTGCGTCTGTCAACCATCGTGTAGTCGGCATTGACATTGTTGGGTCTTCATATCTCCTCTCTTCACTTGGGTTGGCTCTTGATGCCCTCGGTCTCTCTTCTTCATCTTCTTCCATAGGTGTGGGTCCTTCTTCTTCACTTTCTGGCTCCCTCGGCTGTACATCACGTGCTCGAACTGTGATGATTTCACCTGAGTCCAGACGAACTTGTACTTCATCATCTGGATCATGGTCTTCACCCTCACTTTCAGCCTCTATCAAGGTGTTGTCCCTGACGTTCAAATGAAGTCTCGTTTGAACAGCATTGGCTTTGAGATAGCTTTTGATCTGCCCATCCAATCTCCTCATATCAAACTCTCTGTTGGTATCCTCGATGTAGTTCCAATGCTTCCAATCTTCTTCACCGAACTCACTGTCATCGACATAGCCTGAGGCCTTGATCAGCCCCCCTGTGAACTCGTTGCACATAGTTCTTGAGCTTTGCCAATCCTTCTTGAGCTTCATGACCATAAGCTCCAATCATCATGCCATTCACTTTCTCATCCTCCGTCACACTCTGAAGCCTTGCCTCCATTCTCTCAAGCTTCCTCCAGAGCTTATAGATGAAAAGGATCAGCACTCCAATCACCATGAACAAGATCACAATGAGCATGCTTGTCCATCCGCTGCTTCCATGTGCTTGTGTAGTCATGTCACCTTCACCTCTCTCTCCAGCCACGTGCTCAAGGCCTTCGAGAAGTAGAATCCGGTTTAGCAGCTTTGCAAGCCTCTGGATCTTACTTTTGCTTACCGCTCTCTCTTCAAGGTTGTGGTACTCCTCCTGGCCGATTCTTTCACCATCCACATTGTAGATCTGGCACCAATGCAGAAGGAGATTCACCCTTGCCTTTGGTAGTGGTTTTGTGCCCAAGTCCGCAACATTGGAAACCGTCCCCACTGCTTTTACTTCGAGGTCTCCTTGCGCCACCATGTCCTGGATCCATAGGAGTTTCCCTGCAATGTGCCGCAGTTTGCCCGGACCTTTTCTGTGACATAAGTGGAGCGCTGCGGAGTTGTCAACCAGGCAGTAGTGAGTGACCTCCTCCTCAACTAGGAACTCAAGACACCTCCTCAAGTAATGCCATCTGCTGCTCCACTGACCAGTGCATTTAACTCGGCCTCCGCTGAGCTCAATGACACTGATTTCTGGCCACGCGAGCTGGCCAAGATGACCGCCCCATTCAGCATGTGAATCGCAGCTGAGGTTGATCTTCGATGTCCTTTGGCCCCTGACCAATCACTGTCAGTAAAAGTCTCCAACAGCCATCTCGTTGTCGTACTCCTTGTTGAATGTCCATGGCCAGGATCTGGATACGGCAGCAAACTGTGTTGTCCAAGTGTCCCCTTCAAATAGCCTACTTTCCCAACTTCTTCAGGCTTCCGGTGGTTGGTGCTGACATCGATGACGCAAGCTCTTTGATGGTGAAGGATACGTCAATCCTCTCCTGAGACAAGTAGATGCCACATCCGACCAAAGATCTGTACATGCTCGACAGCTCTGCATTCAGCAACATTGTGCCATCAAACTCCAGCATCTCCGGTCCACATGGCAGCTTTTGTATCTTCACTCGTCCTAGCTTCTCCTCATATTGCTCCACCATGCTCTCTGCATACTTTCCTGGCAAAATCTTGAGACCTTCATTCACTTGTTCGTAGGTCCTTCGTAGGAAGGTGAAAGTCGTGCCGTTGTCAGACAAGTGTTGCTCTGAGATGTCGAATCTCTTGCGGATGTCCGGGAGGAAGGTGTTCTCCATGTAGTACTTTGCGCTCACATACATCACATCATCTACGTGGATGAGGACCATCATCTGTTCACCTTTCCTTCCCAGACAGGGATTGATGTCTGAGAAACTGAAGCCTCTCTCCTTCAGCCAATCCGTAAAGTAGTCGAACCATGCCTTTGCTCCCAAGCGCTGGCCTGGTAGGTTTCTCTTCACCTCATAGTACCCCCGAGCTGTCTTCACCTGAGTAGGTTCTTCTTGGGGTACCTGAAGAAAGGCATCTTTGACGTCCATCGAACCCAACCAGTAGGGCTCACCTCCGCTCTTCTCTTCCAGCTTCTTCGTGAGGTAGATGATGGGAAGAAGGCGTAGTGTTTGGCCTCCTGTTGCAGGACTGTGCACGTCATCTCTTCTGTCCACAGCATACTCTCGTGCCACTAATCTTGACCTTCTGAGAAACTGCTTAGGTGAGCCTGGAAGATCTGGTCGAGGCTTCACTCTCCAGTCCCTCACGAACCGAGTTGTCAACCTTTTGAATCCAACCTTCTCCTCTTCCATGGCCTCCAGTACTCCCATGCTCAGAAGTCTCTGTTCTTCTACTGCATCGGCCAACTCATCGATCCAGAAGGGTGGATCCGGTGGCACTCTTTCCAAGGAAGCTGAAGACCACAGCTCTGCTGGTATCGCCACCTTTGAGTCTTCTTCTCCATCCCCTTCTCCACATGCTAAGATCTCCTCCTCTCCGAAGAACTGGTCCATGTGGTAGTAGGTATCCTGTCCAACTGCTGTTGCCTCTACTCTTCTCTCAACTTGCGGACCTTCTCCAGACGTCTTCAACCTCTTTGGCTCAGATAACTCCCCTTCACTCTCATGGATTGGTTTTGTTGGAGTCAACTTCAACCTCTTGGGATCTCCTGCACTTCCTTCAGTTTCCAAATTCATCTTTTGTGCCAAACTCCTGGGAGTAGTTGCAGGAGCAGAAGGACCGGCTTGGTTGTTCTCCTCATCAATGCTGTTGGCATCTCGTGTCCTGATTTCTGGGACACTGACTTTCTCCTCTGCATAATCTTGCTTCTTTTCTTCTGCCAACTTTTGCTCCTCTGTCTGCCCTTCTTTCTCACTGAGCTGCTTATTCTCGACCTCCACCAAGTCCTTCACCTCCTCCAGCTTTCCAGCATAGGACTTGGAGAAAGCTATGATCTCGCGTGCATCATCATCATCAACCGCTATTCCCTTCGTCTCGGCTGTTGGCAGTCCGAGCAAAGGTCCTCCAACCATGGCTGCCACTCGCTTTGAAGGCACAATCCTGCCCCCAAAGTTCTGCTGGAACTCCCACGAGTAGGCTGTGAAGGCCTGATAGCAAGCCAGGTAGCGAGTGCTAGCATCTGCAACTCTCCTCAGGGACTTGCTCAGAAAGACTCTGTTCCCGTCTCCAATGACCCAAGCATCTTGTACCTCGGTCTTGCCAAGACAGATTCCAACTTTCCACCTTGGATCAGCTTTGAAGCCTTGCTTTTGCTTGGAATAAGCAAAGACAACCTCTCCAAAAGGGCATACCTTTCCCTCATAGGCTTTCCCGTGTGTGAGTTCGAAGCTTGTGGTGCCTCTCAACACTTGGTACCTGTTCAGCGTCCAAGCTGCGTGCCGACAGGCCCATGACCATAGAGGATGTTGGTGATGGAACCTGAGCCCGATCTTCTCCGCCAGACTCTCCATCATCGAAGCAGCTAGACCCCTGACTCTATGTACTGCATTCTCCGCCAAGGAATTTCCAGCTGAGTCGTAGAGTTTTGTTGTGCGCATCGTGGTCTTCAATCCCATTGCTGTCCTTGAGGAAACCAGAAGACGAACAATCTGCCTAGCTGTCGGCTCATTGTCGCAGTAGTACTGTACCGCTTCATGTCCTAAGACTTGGGTGAATGCCAGCAACTCATGGGTAATGAGATTCATCTGGTTCTTCGATTTCAATGGGAGACCCAGCAAAGATCCTGTCTCTGAGCACACCGCAATCAGCCAAAGTGCACCACTTTCTTCATCATGGACACCCTCTTGGGCTTGGTCCTCCTCCTCGGCTCCCAAAGCCGCTGACCCTTTCGCTTTTACTTTGCAAAAGTCGAATGAGATGGTCGGGCATCCTTGATCATGCGACTTACCACTTCTCCGGTGTTGGTCTGGTCGTGCACGATGCTTGATGCAAGCTGGACACCAAGGGGCGTAAGGGACGTGTGTCAGCTCGTGAGCTTTCCTCTCAGCTTCTGTTGGGACTTTAGCTGCCACCTGCTCAAGTGGGATCCTCTGCCCCATAGCTTGTCCTCTCGCAGCCAAATCTCTTGCCATCATCAACTCAAGCGCTCCTTGGTGGGCCACCAACCTGCTGAAGCACTTCTGCTTACCTCCACTTTGACCGATTTGGTAGAAGGCACAGGCTGCTCTCAGGCTCCTGAGTGGACTCTCCAGTGTCAAGGTCACATCGTTCACCCTGATCTCTTCCGGGACAGCCACTCCAACTTCATACTGGACCATTTGATCGTCGAGGTCTCGGCCCTGCTCCTGGTCTTCTCCTCCAGGAATCTCAGCTCCTCCAAGTTCCTCAAACTCATCATCTCCAGCCTGAGGGATTGCCAACTCTTCCATGTCTGGTTTGGGACCCAACTGAACTGCACTGTCGATCTCGAACCCGAAAACTTCAGGAACTGTTCCCTCTGGTGCTACAAAGGTCATCACTTTGCTTAGACCCACTTCTCGAAGCTCTTCAATCTCACCTTCTTGTTCTTCGAGCCCATCTAATGGCTCAGCCATCTCCACAAGTTCCCAGCCTCCATCTCGTTCCACCAAGGTCGACCGGCAAACACCTTCACCTTGATCACGAAAGCCAGGAATGAGCTGTGGACTCTGAAACTTTGTGCTGAGGTGCAGTCCGACCCAGAAGTCATCCTTCTTCTTCCAGCCATAGCCACTGTTGGCCAGGCTTTCCAGCTCATCTCCAAGCTTGACTCCCAGCGTGCGAATCACCATGGGCTCTGTGATGACTCGGATCGAAGCATCCACCACCAAGCTCTGATTCTGAAACGCTAACGGGACCTCCAAGCTTCCATTCTTGAGGCACTGCTTCCGTCCATCAATGGACCACCCACTCCTCATCAAGCGACCGAAAGAAAGAATCGGCTGGCTGACCATGTCACTAAACGTGACCTTCTCTTTCAGGACCACGCACTGGCCCTCGGACGTCACCATCATAATGTCCACGTCCTTGTTGCCATAGCTTTTGATCTTCTTGCCTTGGGCATCCTGTAGATGGGGTGCCTCCTGCAGTGTCCTGTCGTTCACTGTCTGCTCAAGGAACCTTCCTGGGAAGATCGACGCATCAGCACCTGAGTCGACAATCACCTTGAACGATTGCCTTTCTCCACCTTCTTCATAGAGCTCCAAGTTCACCTCCTCATTATCGGTCTCGACTACAGTGTTCACCATGTAGCCGTCATACTCATTCTCATCATCGGAGGCGATGTTGAAAAATTCAACTTGGCTCACCATGCGAATTGCACCAGCATCACTCCCTTCTCTCAAGTCGAAGATCACTGGTTGTGAAACTCGTCGAATGTTCTTGGCATTTGAATTCATCTCAACACCTCCACCACTTGTCAAGCTTGTTGTCAAAGTAGTCGAAGGTGAAGTCGTGTGTGAACCTGCAATGCTTTGGGTGGCTGGCGACTCCACCTGTCTCACACGCCAGCAATCTTTGGCCATGTGGCCCGGCTTGCCGCAGGTCCAACACACCTCACTGGGATTCTTTCCCTTGCCACCTTTTCCTTCCTTGCCACCACCCTTGCCTTTCCCATCTTTGCCACTGGATTTGCCGCCTTTTCCTTTGCTCTTGGACTTGTCCTCTTTACCCTTGCCCTTGCCCTTCTGCTCCTTCGACTTGCTCTTGCCCTTCTTTCCATCACCTTTGATCCTGTCGACCTCCATTGGCATCGCACCATTGGGATCATTCATTGGGCTCACTCCAGAAAAGGTCAAGGCACCTGACTCATTCCATTTGGTCGTAGCAGTGTCAAAGGCGATGATTGCTTCCCTGATCTTTCCGTAGGAACTGCCTTCGTTCAGGGTCAAGTTTAGATGAGTTTTCATCTGGCCGGACACAGCTCTGAGCAGGACAGCGGATTTCATGTCCTGGGACAGCTTTCCACCAAGGCGCTCATACTGCAGGTAGTGTTCCTCCAACTTCAGGATTTGAGGCAGTAGAGAACTCTTCATGTTGAAACTCGGATAGGACATTATGCCCTGCAGCAAGTTCATTGTTCTGTTTCTGGCTTGAGGTTGACAGTTCATCAACAGCTGCCTAAGGGCTTCCATGCCGTTGAACTTCTCCACATTCTTTATCACCCCAGTCAACCTTCCTTGCACCAAACTTCCCAACAAACTGTAGAGAAATCGACTCCGCTGCTGTTCACCTTCATCTAAGAGCTCCCAATCCACCTCTGTTCCAGGGTTGGCCTCAAGCTTCTCCAGCTCCTCCTGAAAGGCACTGTCCACCACCACCAGGTACTGCTTGATCGTCCAGTACCAGTCTCTCCATTGCAAGACCTCCTGCTCCCGGTCGATGGGGTTGAAGGCACCGGGTCTCGGTATCAGCTTGGCCAAATCCTTCTTCAACACTCCATGCTCTTCACCTTGTCCTCCTGCTTGTCCACTCGACGCCGCCGCCTGCGCTGCTTGAGCAGCGGCTGTTGCAGCAGCTATGACAGCTTGTGCAAGGCCGCTCATCTCCGACTGGTCCATCGTGCTTTGGTGCTCTCCACCAACCTCCTCAGTCACCAGCCAGTAGAACCTCCTGTAGTCCAAGGGCGTCGAAGGTGAGGATCTCCTTCAGGTACTCTCAGGCAAGGATTGCGAGAACGTGCTACACCAGTTTATGGGTGGCTCGGCGGGTGGCGCGCTCAAACAAAGGCCTTTAAACTGGAGCTCCAGTCAGCACCAAGCCTTGGGTGCTGACCTTCTCAGCTCCGCTACCATGCGAGCTTTTCTCGAACCTCAAAGGCCTGTATGTCGGTTGTTTGTACAGGTCGTTTCAAGGTGTGGAGTTACGTAGCTTTTCTTACGCAGTAAGGCACTTGTTACTAGTAGCTTCTTGTTACTACTAGCGTGGCACCTGTTACTAGTAGCGTGGCACTTGTTACTACTAGCTTCTTGTTAGTGGCGGGGTTGGACCGTCCGAGAGTTGCATCTAGGGGAGCTTTGTTGCTCGTGACTTCTTGAAGCTCAAGCATCATTTAAGCTGCCTCTGGGCGTACACGGGGTTTTCAGTGCACAGGAGAAACTGGGAAAACAAATGAATGATCTGTTCCATTTGAGCAATTAAAGGATCTGAGCGATTGGGACTCCTGTGGTGATGGCGAATTCATTCTACACTCCTTGTCACTGCACCCGGCAAGGAACATGGAAAATGGGCAATGGCCTCCAACGCGATGGTCTCCCCGGCCTCCAACCTAGTAGCTTCTTGTTCCTAGTAGTACGGCCAGGAGCCCCGAACGTAGCGTCCGATCGCTCCGTTCGTAGCGATGCCAGGAGCCCCTAGTAGCTTCTCGTTACTACGAGCGATGGCCTCCAACCTACGAGCGATGAAGGCCTATGGTCCGATCAGTAAAGGTCTGCGTTGACCCCATCGATCCATCCCACTTCCCGCCATCACGAATTCGCTCAGCCGCTCTTCCTCGATGAGGCACCTAAAAGCATCTAAAAAACAACACTAAAGAAAAGGATCCTACAGTTGGTAGCCATGCAATCTTGAACTGGAAATGTCGCTCTCCTTGTGTCCCGGAAACCAAATCCCCTCTCTTTAGATGAATCAGCCAAAAAATGAGTGGATCAATGTCCATCATCAGAATGGATGCACGCTTAACAAGCATGTCTTCCCAGCCCTATGGCGACAAACTTTGACATTGAACCTGGAAGTGTTCAGTGTTCAGTGTATAACTGCCATACCGAACCCGGTATGAGCTGCTTCCCACCTGAAAAATGACACAGAACGGTGAACTCCGTGAACCCTCGAGGGTGATCCTCCTCGGCTACTTCATGGCACCGATCAAAGCGCTGCCCCCGACCGCCTCGCCGGACTGAATCGCAGCGGCGGTCACCATGGCCCAGGCCACGTTGGGATGTAAACCTTAGAGTTGCTGAGCTTCGGAGACCGGAACGTATAGTTGCTGAGCTTCTTGTTACTACTAGTAAGGCACTTGTTACTAGTAGCGATGCACTTGTTCCTAGTAGCTTCTTGTTCCTGCTAGTAAGAATGCAACTAGTAGTAATGCCAGGAGCCCCTAGTAGCGTCCGATCGCTCCTAGTAGAAAGGCCAGGAGCCCCTAGTAGCTTAGTCCTCAGGTTAGAGAATTCAGAACCAGTTCGGGAAAAAATCCCCTGATTCAGCAAAACCAGGAAACCGGTCGACGAGGTGTAGACCGGTCGCGCTTGCGCTTGCCGCAGCAGCAACAGGCCCGCGGTATGGCAGTCCTGCATCCGAGAAAGATTGGAGATGAAGGTCGGAGAAGATTCAGTTGGAGACGACTTCACCCCCCATGGAGGTTTGCAATTGCTTTTTTTCGCTCTGCCCTGCGAATCGGTTGGGGTCAAGCAGTCTTATGGAGGTCTTTTAGCACGTATAGATGCATGTAACATGTAGTTTCAGATGCGCTCCTGATCCTTTTAGGCATTGAAATTGTAGCACCAGAAATGGAGGTTCCTCGTGTCGGACCCCTTCGTCCAAACATCGGTGACCGCGTCGCCGTCGCGGAGACTTGCGATCAGGCGCCTCCGTCACGAAGAGCCAGACTTCCAAGTGGGGCGAGCGCAGCTGCAAGGGCCAAGCAAAGTGGTCCTCGCCACGAAAACCGGAGAAGCGACGGTGAAGACGCGGGCTTCGGTCCGTCGAAAGGTTTTCTCCCGTCGAAAAGGAAAGAGGGAGTCTCTGCTCATCACAAAAGCAAGGCTGACACCAAAAAGCCAAACAGCTTTGCTCAGCTGTTATAACAAAGGGTCTGAGCCCGCGAGCTACTCCGAGATGCACCCCCAAAGGGCAGGAAACATCGCGTCTGCTCAGATGTAAACAGCAGAACAGGCAGGCAAGGCTCTTGCAGGACTGATCCCAAGGAGCGCTCGAGATCCTGAGGACAAACAGGTGGCAAACATCTCACAAGCTTCCAGGACCTTCCAATCTTTGACCTCATTCTGGGATCTCAAGTTCGGTCACTTTGAAGGTCCAGGCAGATCATGTTGATCCGGCCTCCAGCTTTTTGTGTGGCTGACCTCCTGCACCCGGTAAGCAAACAGGCCCCATGCACCGCAAAGCTGCAAAGCTAAAGAATTCAGGCTATAGTCACATATGTTTGACTGGTGCGACTCGTAGTAGATGAGAGAATGACCTGCCCCTCAACGACGGATTCCTTCGGGTCCATTCCCAAACTTCCTTGCCAGTCGCACCAGTCAGGACAGCAGCTAGTGTCTCACGTCCCAATCCCAAACGCTCCATGGGACTGGAATATATGCCGCCCCATTGACTCCCCTGGCACCACCCCAACTGATTGGTAAGCATGGCAGTCCCGTGGGTCGTGTCTGGTGAAGATGTGTTCCTCGTTGCCACAGCTGAGCTTCCAAGGAGCTCGACGAACTTGCCGAAGAGGAGGACTTCTTACCTTGGGGAAGTGTACACATAGAAGTCTCACAACGCTCTGGGGACTATACATATATATATATAATGTGTGTATAGTTTCAACATGTTTCAACACAACCAGCAATCTATGATGATTGAAGTTACTTGCAAATGGCTGTTTATAGGGTTTTGAAGGTAGATAATCTTTTACCATATGGCACTCAAAGTTCTGTGGAAAGGCAACAACATGCCTCAAACAAAAAGGCATTGCTGTCCAAAGACATCACCGTCTTCTACACCGCCAACATGAGAGAAGGGCAGGGAGGTTCAAAGTCCGTCAGAGCAAGGCGCAGCTGACGCGAAAGGAGGTCACGCGGCCACACACAGTTTCCCAGAAGTCCAAGGCGTCGTCCCATCCACCGCCGTGCGGAATGGGCCAGTCGGTGCCCTGATACGTAATGAGAAAGATCTTCTCAAAGCAATTCCTAAAGCGGATGGGCGGATGAGGGGAAGACCACATGAATGGAGTCGATGGAGATTTCTGGTGTCTGACGGTCTGACGACTTGGCGTTTGATGTGGTGATTCTAATAGCCGCCTCCAACCGAATATCGATGGCCTCCACCTCCACTCTACTAGCAATCACCTTCAACCTACTAGCCGTCGCTGTGCAATCTCCTCTTGCTCTTGAAGTCGCTGTCAGCTGCTTGGAACATCTCCCGCCGAGGCAGGCAACTTCAGCGAAACCGATGCCGAGAAGTGGATCATTCTCGCCATGCCCGCCGGGAAAATCCAAAGAAGGAAGGTCGGTGCCAACCAACTGTGGACTTTCCGCAGAAATCACCCAAACATGTTTCTCTTCCAAGATGCAAAGTCATTCTGAAACGACCATGAACGGCGAATCGATCAGGTTATAGTAGATGCGTCTAAACACCACAAGTGTTCAACGGATCCCGCTGCGCAAAGCCGCTGCTCGGCCAAGCTTCAAAGCTTTTAGACTCGGAAGATCCACTTTGCTGCTCCAATAGATGCGGCCTTTCTGCACCTCTGCGCAGAGTCCAGCGACAAGCCCCAGACCTGCCCTCGTTCGGCCTGGTTACGTGCTGGTGGCATGTTCTTTTTTCAAAGTGATAAGGGCCAATTCCACACATGGAAAACAACGAGCGTCTACGGCTTTGGGCCAGGTGTTGCTGGCTCTTCGCCACCAAGATCCCAAGGTCACATGGTCCATATTTCAAAGGGTGTTTATTCCTAGAGCCCAGACGTGACCCCTGTTCTTGATAGGAAAGGACTCCAAAATATGGGTGGTTGGTGGTCCAAAATAAAGATCCTTCAGGTTCTAGGTTTCTTCTTGAGACCATCATGGTTCATTTAGGCTCGCAAGCTCTCGCAAGCTCCAATGTCCTGATAGAAACTGAGGCTTCAGCAGTTCTGCAAGTCGTGTTTTGCAGCAACCCCAAACAGAATGATACTTAGTAGAGAGAATTCGCGAATAAGCTCCCCAATAGAAGTTCCATGTCCATTCTCTCATTCCATCTCAGTTAGGACGCTATTAGGTGGAGGCCATCGCTAGTAGGTTGGAGGCCATCGCTATTAGGGTGGAGGCCACTCACTATTAGGTTCCCTTTGCTACTAACAACGAATTCTCTCATTCCTTAACGCTTTCGCACCAGCGAAACATCGCTCGGGGAAGTTTAATTCGACCCCATGAGCTTATTGGTATATCTTGTACTCATGGAGTCAGTTCACAAGCTGCTGTTTGGTGGGCAGTCCGGTTGGTCAAGCTGCTGTTTGCCTCCATTTGGTGAAAACAGAGACCGTCACAGACCCCCCAACCAGGCACATCAATGTCCTCTGCAGCCACCAGCTTCAGGCCATTCAAGCAGTTTCCTTGGACAGCTGGAGCTCCCAGCACCCGTCGACGGAGGATGTTTTCTCTTTGCACAAGGTCTCACACGCCAGCGCCATCTGGACATCTGGACACTTCTTCTCTGGAAGACAACAAGTCCAGTTCTGACCCAGTAAAACCTGGTCTTCAAAACCACCATTGAGATCATTGAGATCATTGGTGTTCTGGTATGACCAACTCCAGTACAATGAGGTCAGTTCCTGACCGGAGTTGGGAATGTCACAACCTTAAAGATGGTCCTCTGGGCCTCTTCCTCTTCGCTCTTCGTTTGGAAGCCATCGCCAGTAAGGTGGAGGCCATCGCTCTTAGGTTGCTATTAGGTGAGGTACCATGCGCCCCTCCTCTTCCCCTCGTCCTTTCCACCGAGGCTCGGTACACGGCCTCGCCGTTGCCGGCGCCCGTGTCCACCGTCCCGAGGAAACGCATTCGCGGGCGCAGGTACACGGCGCGTGCGTGTCAGGCGAAAGGAAGGAGAGGCATTCCGTTCGTAGCGATGTTCCTAGTAGCGTCCGATCGCTCCGTTCCTAGCGATGCCCGGAGCCCCGTTCGTAGCGTCCTCTTGCTCCTAGTAGTAAGGCCAGGAGCCCCTAGTAGCTTCTTGCCCTGGTCGTGTTTCGCATGGATGAAGTGAATTACGCTGTTGAATGGTGACCGTCAAAGAGAGTGTTCAAAGGTAATGTTTAAATTACACCACCGTAGACCCCAAACAGTTTGTGTTTTTCAAAATCGAAACTAGAGCTTGCGACGTCCAGAGCTGGGAGACAAATGTAAAGGGTTGCAAGGCAGAGAGGGACACAGCAGTACAGAGCGGGCGGACACATCTTAAGAAAGAATTGAGAAGCCCTAACAGTAAACCTTTTGGGGAATTATTCTTCAAGTGCGAACATGATGCTGGTCATGCTGCTCAGTCAGCGGGGAGCTGACCACGTGAGGACAAGAAATAAAAGCATGAGGAGCGAAGGATGTGACATGAAATTGATTTTTGGTGCCTGACGTATGCCCTCCGCCCCAATTGAACAGAGAGAGATCGCTGCCACGCCGCCGAAATCCAATCCGGTCATTCATCCAACGGTTGCCCGAAAAGGAAAACAAAGCTGAGAGAGTTACACAGTGTGGCAGGAATGCAATCCCGGAGACAGTCACGCACCCCTTGCAAAGGAGCAAGAACCTTTCACAGGCGAACCTGTTCCAGCGGACAGGGCAGAAAACAGCAGCGCAGGCACCAAACCTGAAAGACAAAAAGAAAGAAATCACATGGGAGACAAATGAATAGAAATGCTACATGACCAGCGGAAAAGGGCGGCAGCACCAGTGACAGACCCGGGAAACAAATGAATAGAAATGCTGCATGCCCAGCGGAACAGGGCGGACACCAGCAGTGACAGACCTGGAAAACAAATGAATAGAAATGTTGCATCGCCAGCGGAAAAGGGCGGACACCAACAGTGACAGACCTGGGAGACTAATGAATAGAAACGCTGCATGGCCGACGAAAAGGGCGGACACCAGCGGAGACAAATGAATAGAAATGCTACATGGCCAACGGAAAAGGGCGGACAGCGGCAGTAACGGACCTGGGAAACAAATTAATAGAAATGCTTCATGGCCAACGGACAAGGGCGGGCACCAGCAGTGCAGGCTGGGAGACAAACGAATAGAAATGCTACATGG